TAGTTCTCCTGATAGCCAGTTTGGATAGTAGGGGGCTTCCAAAAGTTACCTCATGTACTTAACAAAAGCCATCATATGTCTCATAAGAAATGTCTAGGGTTTTAGGAACTATGAGCCAGGAACCTTGGACAAATAACACACACACACACACACACAAATTTCTTCTTATAAATCATACAATATCACAGTTTCCGTAGACAGCCAATTTAAAATATCTCTACTAAGGTTAACTGTGTGTAAACACCTGTGCTTGAGTTTCCTTATCAAAAATTTTAGGGTGTAACAAAAATACTGCTTTGAGTACTAAATGACATAATGCGTGTAAAGTGCCTAGGTAAATAGTAGCTGTTATAATTATGGGGTCTTGATAAATGTGAAAGAAGTAATCATTGTCTTGTCAGCAATACTATAACAGCTATCTATCGCTGCATAGCAAATCATCTTTAATTTAAAGACTTAAAATAGGGCCCTCCCTGGTGGCTCAAGGGGTTAAGACACAACCTATGAAGCTATCCGCAGCCAATTCAATCCCGGCCAGGGAGCTACCTACAAGGCACAGCAGACCTCTCTTGACTCGCCTGCTGCTCCCCTCAGCAGTATAATTCAGTCAGTTCGCCTGGTCTGTTCCCCACTCTGTCTCTGGTGAATCCTCTCACCCCCCACCCCTGCATCTCTGGTCTGTACCCCAGCTTTTGTATGCATAAATAAATAAATATTTTAAAAAAGGCTTGAAACAAAAGCAGTCATTTATTTGCCCACAATTCTGCAATTTTCCAAGCTCATCAGAGTCCATCTCTGATCCCTATAGTGATGGCTGGTAGATCTACTGGAATCCAAGATGATTTCATTCAGATGATTTCATTCACAGTCTCTCTCTGGCTCTCTCATGGTCTCTCATTCAACCCTTACCAGGTTCTTAAGGATTAAAGGTGAAAATGGGACACTGTAACCCCCTTTGCATTGCATTCTGTTAGTTAAAGGAAGTCACATGACCAGCTAAGTTCAAGGGAGGAGAAATGGACCCCTTTTCTGTAGGAGAGGAGTTACTTGCATGAGGATTTGTTGGTGGCAATCTTTGTAAAGGATATAAAAATATGCTCTTTTCTTTAGAAAGTAAGACTAATTATGAGTGGAATTACTGCAAGTTAAGTTTTGACAAACTAGTTATAAAAAACCTAAACAGCTAAAAATAATATATCTGATGCTCAACAAGGGACAAAATTATGCAACTTGTTTCTCTGAGCTGTTAACATAATGCCAAAAAAGTCACTCTATTTATGATGGTGAGGAGGAAGTTAATTTTGTCATGAGAAAGATAATATACTTTAGATTTTATCCCCAGAATTTTCAGATTTACACATCAAAAGATTTCCAGACAATGGAATAATTTCAAGAATAAGTCAATAAATGCCTAATAAGAGCAATTAGTTCATGATGATTATAATCATGCTCTATTATATTTTATGGTTCTCCAGTGACCTCATGTGTCTTCAACTAAAGTAAAGGTGGTGGCGGTCATATTCCTAATGTCAAACGTTCACATGACTATAATAACAATAGCTAACATTAATGGAACATTTTAGAATGTCACCTATATGTGTCATCTCAATAAATAATGACAAAATTGAATGTATTTGAATTTCAGTTTGCACTGAAACTTTGTACACTGAAGAAATGAATCCCAAAACAGAAGCAGTAACCCAAGGTTCTATTCCAAACATTTTCCACCATCTGGGACTCAGTGTTCTGATGCTAAATCCCCACAAAGCGAAGACTGCGGGAAGATCAAGTAAGTGAAGTCAACTGGAAAATGCCAAAGGGCCTTAAGTTAGCTGATGAATACCTAGTACTTGACCTTTGCCTCTAAACACTTTTCAATCTGACCCTGAATTTAAGAGGCACGATGCCTTCCATGCAATGTGAATTTTATTTCAAAGATCAGACCAAACATTCACTTTGTCTGCTGGATTCAGTTCAACCTACTCATGTCTGTGCCTGAATAGCCCAATGAATGCTGTGTGGCTGAAGCAGTCTGTCTATATTTGTGCTTAATGTTGCACACCTTCTGGGGTTCAAAGACCAAAAACTGACACAAGTTGTTCTTCTCCCAACTTCCCACACCCCACCAAGAACTGAAATGAAACTAGGCTAATAGTGAGTCCAAAGTTTCTTTTTCTTTCGCAGTATGAGAAATGATTTGTTGATATTAAATCAGGCAACTGACACAGGATGCTAACCCACAATCAAAATCAAGTTCAATAAACTATGAGTATAAATTTTTTTCTTCCAGGACACAACAAAACACTTTGCAAAATTTTATTCCTTCAATGAAGTATTATGATTTTTGAAAGAAGAGGAAAGAGAGACAGAAAAATAGGCAGGTAGAGAAAGAGAGACAGTGATTTGTACAAGATCACACAAATTAAAAAGAGGGGAGACAGACACCTTGGGTCACATGACTCCATTGCTATTGTTACTTCTACTCAAATATAAGGACACTGAAAGATAACCTTTATCTAGAAGCCCACTCGAAGACATGCAAGGCATCCTGCTCTAGTGTGTGAGTGTGGTGAGCACTTACTGACTTTGCTTCAAGACTGATTTCTGACCTAACTTCCAAATGTGAAGAACAGTAACCACGGAAGGCAAATTTAAAGGTGGGAAAATTCCCATCATTCAAGGAGAAATTGAATGTTCCATTTAAGAAAACTGGAGCATTGAAAGCAAGTATTTAAAAGGGCTGTTGTATTGGGGCATCACTTAATAAGGTTAAAATCTAAACCACCACCCCTTCTCTAGCAGGAAGGTTTGGGAGGCTTGAATAAGGAGAACTGATAAGGTTGCTATGGGAATGAGGTCATAAGACTGATCACTGTGACCCTGAATGCAGAAGAAGGGCCAGTACATAGTCTGTGTCAAAGCTCAATGTCAAGACCAGATATCCCAGCACTAACCAGCCCATATTGACTATGCAGTCATGAAAAGCCCGCGAAAACAGTCTATAAAAGGGAGCCCCAAAACCTTCCTTGCATGCAGACCTCTCCTGTCTCACCCTCTGCTTCTCTTAGCGGTGTATTTCAATAAATCTCTCTTTCTGTTCTTCACTCTGTCTCTGGCAAATTCATTTACCCCTGCACCTCCCTCACTCCCATCTTCTCCCCACAACATTTTGGAATGTTTTGGAAAATAAATACTGAAAAATGGGAGAAATACATTATTCAGTGCAGCAATACCTTGAACTGACTCGTTGAGAGAATCTCTGAGACTACAGGCAGAGACTTCAGACTTTGTCTTTTCACTGCACTTTTCTCACATACAAGGCATTCAGTTGTATTTAGGAGTAATATATGTTGCTTTGAAGTACCTATAGCACTGGAGTTAGCAGAAAGCCTATGCAGAATGGATGATGCCAGTAAGTATATAAGAGACAATTGCTTGGACAAAATACAAATGCAAGTTATTATGGTCCATTTATTGGTATTTGGGAATGTAATGAACTGGGTTCTATACATGAGTAGCTGTATGTGAAAATATCTTACATCAAAATTACACAATTATGTAAATCAATATATGATAGAGCAAATATAGCACAACATTAATTGAAGAATCTTGATTGTATGTGGGTTTACACTGCAGAGTTCTCTCAACTCATCTGTATATTGAAACTTCTCATAATGAAATTTAGGCAAAAATCAACTGAATATACACACACACAGACTTATGGTTCACTGAGCCTCTTCTGACACTTACATGAACCCATAAATCCAAGTCTATATGGAGAATAATTATGTAATGGAAAAATGTCGCCTTCTTACTATAGAAAAACTTTAAACTTTTTCTTTCTCTGATCTTAATGCCTTACAATTTAAGACATTTGCCATTTTCAAAATTTTCCTCTTTCTAAATAAATGCAACTGAAACTCAATCACAATTCAAATCTTAGAGCTGGAAGAAATGAGAAGACTCCTCTAGTTTACCACCCTGATCCATGCAAAATTTTTCTTAAGAATTCCAGTGTTTATCCTGTACTTTCTTATATCAAAATTAGTTCTGCTGTTGGGAACTATGCATAGCAAATAATATTTTTCTTCTCCACACCAATGCCCTTCAGATGATGACCTAAATGGCAGAATCACTCATAAGTCTGTCTTTAGTCAAGTCTCCGTTCCCTACAGCCATCAACCAACCTTATGCAATTGGCCTCAAAGCTTTACATTAGCAAGGTTATTGTCTTTTGGATATGCTTCAATTAGTTCAAGATTTTCTTATTAGAACTGCCAATCTTGAAAACACTATTCCACAGTTTTATAGTATTATAAGAGGGTTTATGACCAACTAAAAATCCCAAGTTAATTTTCACATGAGCTTCTGTTCGGCAAAATAGCTTGAGGCAAGAAGGGCCATAGTGTGGTCTTATTATTCTTAAACAAAATTTCTATTGTCTCTTGTTACCTCATAAAAATGCATGACCCATCAGTATTCCCCATTGGATGCATTCATCACTTACTAAAGACCAATATTCACTGCATTTGTACTTTCTTTGAAAATATAATTTATGATAAATAATTGGCACAATTCAGGACAATCTCTATTATGGACATATAAACTTGTAGACTCAATAGCGGGACTAATGGAAGATAAATCATCTCAATGAAAACTTGTGAACACATAATTTACCACTTTCCCAGATGGGTTTCAACATTTTAATTTTTTTTCTGTGAGGAAAATATCTGTAGAAACATACTAAAACTTGGATATTTATGGGAGTTGGGGTGTGAAGTTAATTTAGCAAATAATAATCTATTCAAGAAACAGCTTCTAGTTTGTGAAAATTACTCTGTAATTTTTTTAAACGCAGTGACAGCATTTAGCAATTAGGGTGGAGGATTTTTCAAATATATAACATGGTGGTGATCAGCGTGGTTTATTTAGAAAGCATCTACTGAAGAGTTTCCCCAAACTCCAACCAGCAGCTCAAGTCTGAAACCACAGACTGCAACATGGAGACTTTCATATTCCTTCCCTTTATGTTCTTGGCCATGTTCTCAGGTAAGAAAGTTACATTCGATGACTTTCCTTTCAATTCCCAAAGTAAAGAATTAGAAATGTGGTCTGATTTGGCAATACTTAGTCAGAAAACTATAAAATGAAGAATTTTTGACCAGACAAATGGATGAAGGCAACTTGTAACAACATAAATATTGACCAGAGGCATAAAAATAGTGACTGGGTGAGACAACAGTGAAAGTTTTGGTGTGGCTCGAGAGAAGCAGAGACAAGGGAGAAGCAAGAACTTGCACTAGAAAGATCGATTCAGTCTACAGGGAAGTGAGAGTTTGTGAGCACTCAAGTCCATGTTCATGAAGGATATGATTTTGTGTGATGACCAGCATTGTGCTCTTAAGTCCTGGTTTCTCTGTGTTTGTCCTATGTGTGTGCATTTAGCAACTTTATTTTAGCCTCAGTTTTCTCATGTTTAAAGTGGAAATAATTATACATTCCTGTAAGTTGTTATAGGAATTAAGTGTGCACTATCATTAGCAAGCACTACTAGTGTTCTTACTTGCTTGTCATTCAAGACTATTATTTAACTCAATAGAGTTCGGTTGCCTGTTGTCAGAGCTGTAAATTTCTGATCAGGGCTGGCAAATTCTCAAGATAATAATGACACAGATAATAGAGTTCTCAATATATTATAAGACAGATTCCAATTTGTGGAGGTCTAGATTATGATCTCCTTTGTGACCATTTCTTTAATCACTAGTGAAAGAAAATAACAAAAATAAAGTTCCAATGACCTTCAGGTACTTTCAAGTGGAAAACAAGGAAGAACAATCATCTTCTCATTGAAAGCATTGCACTTGCTAAGTGTGAGAGGATCACCCCACAGGGTTAGGAAACATCAGTCGGTAGTGGTATCAAACATGAGTTAGATGTGAAAGATGTTTGTATACAGACAACATTTAGGGAGCTTCTGAAATGGTAGAGTTAAGAAATAACATATAGAGCTAATAGGGATGAGAGAGGAAGGAGAAAAAAATATGTATGCTTATATACATAAAATCATATTTTTTAAGGAAAAAAACAAAGCATACAGATAAATCACCTACTAGAACATATATGTTCCATGAGGGCAAGTTCCATTTCTCTTTGTGCCTTGCTATGTGACATTTGGTGCATCATCAGCAGGCATGTGTTGTTGGAAAAAGTGCATTAATACCAGATGTAGTGGCTATATGAATTTGCAGGATGAAGGAGAGGGAGACATGAGTATTTAGAGTTTTTAAATCAGGAGGCAATTCTTTTATAAAAGTTTAGTTAAAATATAGATAGTTCAAGTACATTCTGCTATCTTAGTTATCTTTTTTTTTTTTTACCTAAAAAGTCTGCCCCAGGTTTTTATCCTACAAATTTATCTATGTAAGAAATGATGTATTATTGGGAATTTCATTAAATCATGTAACAGTAAAAGAGGGAAATTAATTAGCTGGTATTTGAAAGAAGACTTGTTAAATTATGGCACATTTATCGAATGAGATAGTAGGAGTCATTAAGGAAATTGATGAATGTGCTCTTTTTGTAATAGGGAGATGGCTTCACTGTATTGGCAAGGGAGAAATCAAGTAGTAGAACAGTATGTACAGTATGCTACTGACTGAAAATATATTTAAATATGTTTGTAAATACATAAAATGTCTCTAAAATACAGAAAAACCTAGAACATATAATTGCAACATAGGTAAAAAAATGGGTGTATCAGGGCAGGAGGGAAGGGAACGTTTACATATTTAGGATTTGACACAACTTGCCTGTACAACCTTTAAAAAAGCTGAAGATAATTAACAAATTTATCTATTTTTAGATAATTTTAGATAATTTTTAGATAGTCAATTTATCTATTTTTTCCCCATTTTAACCATTTTAACCATATCTTTATTCTAGTTGATTTCTACTTGAAGTTAGTGCTAGTTACTGAATAATGTTTGGCTCTTAGGATTCATGCATATGCACATCTCTGCTGGAAATCATTATTGTTTAGTCCATTTTTTCTGTCTATGCTCTATACCTCTATCTTCTCCACCATCTTGATTCTTCTGGGTCTGTTGTCTAACTTACTCCTCAGATACTCACACTTCCATAAATTTCTGCTTGTTTCTTGGAACCCCCAGTGGACTTCTGAGCTTCCTGAGGGTGGAACCATACAGGCCTTGTTTATAATTATATCCCAAGATATTACTATAGTTTTGGCACAGTAGTGGACTCTAAATATTTTTTGGTAAATAGACAGAATGGCTGATAATAGCCAAACACTCTACCCTGTGCTATACCATAGTTTAGTAAACCAGGTTACTAACTGGTAAACTTCCTATGCCTGGATCTTAACCATTGGCAATGTAATATAATATGGTAATACTCATCAGATAAGGATTAATTGTATGTTTGATGTTAGTTAAATGTATGTGAATGCATAAGTGTGTATACTCATGGAAATATAAAGCAGGGAAAATGCCAATGAAACCCTAGTTATAGATTTGGAATAATCCACATTAAAATGAGTTAAAGCTATGTAAGTTGAAAAACTTACTAAGGAAGCTTATAAAGAAAAAAAAAAGCTTTTGAGGAAACCTCAAATAAAGTAGCAAGGGAAGAAAGAGGAATCATCAAACAGAAAAGGTCATCAAATAAGAAGCACTTATATTTAAAAAAAAAAAAATGTTAAAAGGAATACCACTGCATGCTCAGCAGCTCTAAAACCTTTCTATTTGCTTATTCAATGTTTACCAGATAGTTCCCATTTTGGAATGGGATATGAATAAATTAAAATATATACATATTTGTGATATATATACACACACATATATATATATCACATATAAGCATTGCTCATATTACCATAAATTTCTTTTTGCTTGTTTGCACATACAGACACATATGTAGAGAGATATATCTATGTCTACTCTCTATATATCTGCATGTCAGTCTATAAATAAATAAATAAACAGACAGATAAATAGATAGACATTGAGTGATGGATGGACTTCCAAAATAAATTGGAGAAGCAGAGTAGATGAATTGTGAAACACAGATTTTAAGAAATAGTCATATAGTATTTATGCAGTAATTTAAAACAAAAGAAATAAGCAACCACCAGAGAGAGTATAATTGAAAAATGGTGGACAAAAAGATGACTAAATTAGAAAGTATGTTCTGAAGAACAAGAGAACCTTTGTCTTTGGGACAGGGATGAGAGGAAAAAATAGATAAAGAGGGAGGAGTGATGATGGCCGGGAGGGCAAATGACTTTCTTCTTCTATATCTGGAAGGTTGATGATGGCATCTACAGAGTGAGGTTAGGGAAATGGAAATGGGTTTTGTGATGGTAAGAAAATTTATTTTTATTTTTCATTTATTTTATTTTTTTATTTTAACATTTATAATTTTTTACATTTTTTTAGACAATATTTGCTTCCCCCCACCCGATGGTGAGAAAATTTAGAATAAGCATTAAACAGTCAGTTTGAATAATTAATAAATTATTAAAAGAAATTTGGGAGGCCTCCCTGGTAGTGCAAGGGGTTAAGATGCAACTTATGAAACTATGCACAGCCACTGCAGCACGAGTTCGATCCCCGGCCAGGGAGCTACCCACAGCAGCAGACCTCTCCTGTCCGGCCCTCTGGTCCCCTCAGCAGTGTATTTCAGTCAATCCGCCTGTTCTGTTCCCTACTCTGTCTCTGGTAAATCCTCTTACCCCTCATACCTCTGGCCTATAGCCCAGTTGTTGCATGCATAACTAAATAAATCTTTTTTAAAAAAGGAATTTGGGGTAGTATGGAGGCCCAGTATAAAAAATTCAGACTATGATTTAGAAATAAGGCAAACAGGTGTGATCCCTTGATTTTCAGAAATTATGAATGTAGTTAAGAAGAAAAAAGTGGCAGAACCAAAATATTCAATGATGAGAAGTAATGGGAATATTCTGTCTTGAGGACCAATTTTTTTTTAAAAAAAAGATCAATTAATACAAATTATATCTTGGGAATGAATGCTATGGATTTTAAATTCTTGAAGTTAAATATTTTTATTTTTCTCTTCATGATATCATTTTAGTGTCTTCAACCCAGGCTTGGAGAACAAATGTTTTCAAAATACAAAAGGGTCCAGAATCTGCACTTACTCTAGAGAGAAAAAATGAAGCTAACCATCAGGGAGGACAAAAAGAAGCTAATAATCAAGGAGGTAGCAACACACATGAAAACACAGGGATATTTGGTCCGCAAGGACGACCAGGGTATTCTAACCAGCCAGGGAAAATGGGGAACTTTAATCAGCAAGGGAGGCCAGGAACTTTCAACCAGCCTGGGAGTCTGCAAGGGAATTCAGGACACTCTATCCAAAGTGGGAATCTAGGATCTTCTAGCCAGCAAGGAATGCCAGGATCATCTAGCCAAAAAGGAGAACCAGGATCTTCCAGCCAACAGGGAAAACCAGGATGTCCCAGCCAACAAGGAAAAGCAGGGTGTTCTAACCAACATGGAAAACCAGGATCTCCTAGCCAACAGGGAAAACCAGGATCTTCCAGCCAACAGGAAAAACCGGGATCTTCCAGCCAACAGGGAAAACCGGAATCTTCCAGCCAGCAGGGAAAACCGGGATCTTCCAGCCAACAGGGAAAACCGGGATCTTCCAGCCAACAGGGAAATCCGGGATCTTCCAGCCAACAGGGAAAACCAAAGTCTTTTTACAATCAAGATAACAGAAAAAATGTAGCCAACCCTTCGAATGGCAATACAAAGGAGATTCAGGTTAGCAGTAATTTCTTTTTTTTTTTTCTTTATTCAACTTACCTCAACCATTCTATTTACCAGACACAGAATAGTTAACAAAGTGTACTGTACTAATGACAAATAATTTACAGATTCAGCTGAATGAGAAGGAATCTGGAGGTGGCTATTTTCCCACACAACACCTGTAATCAGTAGGGAGTGTCAGGCTACTCCACTCTACCTCTCATTTCCTTCTAGTATTTGTTTTCCTCTGCCTGTATTAGACTAGCTCACACTCTCACCTGAGGCCCATCCCCACCAGATTTAACTTTCATGTTCATTTCCATCCCCTCCATGATTACAAATCACTCAGGGTTAATTCTAAACCACAACTGCGATCCAATATCACTCCCCTGCTGAGAATTCTTCAGGGGCATCACATTCCCTGGAAAATAAAATTCAAACTGCTAAGCATGACATTTAAGAATCTTCACAATCAGGACCCTGCTGCTACAGTTCCTGTCACTCTTTGCTCACATGGTCCATATCATTCATATCCTCTAGGTTCAGTATTCTCTATCCCAGAATGTAGTTTATTGTTTGGTAATTTATTGTCTATTCAACTAGATCATGAACCCCTTAGAGAAAGTTCCATTTCTTTTCATATCCTCAAATCCTAGAACCAGACAGGCATATAATATGTTCTCTTGAGCTATTTATCAGGTGAATGAGATGCGTGAATAATACTGCATTGTGGCACCATCGCTGTAACAGTGAGCACTGTCACTCCCATATTTCCCTCTGAGTCCCACTGGGATTTGCTTTTTCTTGCCTTTTTCCCATGTGCCAGTCTCCTAATTTTTAAATGGAATATTAAATAAATGTTAAATATAATGACTCCAAACATTCCACTTAGTTTACCCAAAAACAGTTTTCTAGAGCACATCTGTCTCATTATCTTCATGAAAACCTCCTTTCAGTCTCATAACTTGTATTCCTGAATGTGCTTTCAAACAAAAGCTGCTGTCAGTTCCTCTTGGACCTTATATCTAGGCTGTCACATGGATGTCACCAGGCCCTACTGCTACCACCAGCAGGTGTCTAGAGGCGTCTGCATGTTCAGGTTGCCATTTTCTCAATTTTATATTGCCTGCTAAAACTGGAGTGATAACCTTCTCCATTTCATAAAACATGTGCAAATGAAAGTAATTGATTAATATGAAGGTGGAGAGGCAAACTCTAAGCCATGGGCAAAGACTTAGGTATTTGTACATCTTCTTTGACTCTAGAAGGACTAAGCCCCTAAGTCTTGCCATCCCTCTAGTGTCTGCTCTCATCTGCTCGTCAGAGCTCCTTTCTGATCACAGGCCTGTCATTCTATGATGAAGCTTTGGGGCAACACCTCAGGTTCTACTTTACTGAACTCTGCACAGTCCTATCTCCCACCACATTTTCTTTAATGGCACAAGAAAGAAAAATGTTCAATAAATTACAATCCTGTGTGTTGTGTATTTGCCAGTATGATGTTTCCCTAATCTCTATTTGTTCCCACAGGGTAAGCCTTGTCTACAAATAATTAAAGCGGTTGGAGAGCAGGGGCTTTGATGTCCAAAAACTCAGGGCTTGAATCCCAAAGTGGAAATTTAACCCACATATGGTCTTGGGCTTGTTGCTTACATGCTTGTCACTCGATGCTGGACACTGCACAGGGAGCCCAATATACTCTTCTTTCAGTACTGGCACATGGATTAAATTAAAACAAAAAGGGTCAACAAAAGGATTAGTTTAGTACTAATCAATGAGTAAATCGATGAGTAATGAGCAATAAATGTTTGTTTCATTATAATATTGAAATTAAATTGATTTTCCCATGCTTATCTAATGGGAAACCATTATCTACAGACTGGCCCAACCAGCAGTAAGAGCCCAGGTGGAAATTCAAAATGCCAGTCTATCTACAAACCCGTCTGTGGTTCTGATGGAAAAACCTATGGTAACAGCTGTGTATTTAATGAAGCAAAACGGTAAGAGGACTTTATGTTTCTTTGTATCAGGAAGTACTATTCTGATCCAAAGGGGATAAAGGAACATATTTCTCTGTGTCTATATAGTTTTCTTTCAGTAATGCCTCAGCATTTGTCCAAAGGAAATCTAAAAGGATATTTAATTCTGGAATGGTCAAGTCAGTCATTTCCTGAAAGAATGTGATTCATTCAGCTTTTGAAGTAGGAGTAAGTTTATTATGGAATCACTCATTTGACCAAACTTTCATTAAACATCCACTTTGTACCACACTGCTCTATGCACTGGAGATAAAGTTGTGAGCAAAACACTCAGAATTTTTTGCTTCCATTTCCACTGTTTTTTTTTTTTTGTATGTGTGTGTGAAAAAAAAGTACAATATATTTATATATTTTATATATTTATATTGTATATATATATACATGTATGTTACTACAAATATAAATATATAAAGAGAACTGTGACTCCCATAGATTACTAACTGTTGCCTACTAAAATATATTTAAGCTTAAATAACAACATTAAAGTTTGGATTTGGTGAGCCATGCAAACTTTTTAAGAGCTGCACTCTGTCCACAAGAAAGGTGATCAGGCAGCGGTTCTTCTGCCCACCTGTGACTATGCAGGTGCTTCTTTTCACCAACTCTTTCCCTATGCAGGGCAGCAGCTTCCTGCCTGCCTGTGACCTGTCCCATGCCAGGGTTTCTCTTCATTGACCTCCCTAAGCAGAGGCAGCTCTCCTCAAGGCTGCCCGCCTGTGACCATGCAGGCCTCTCTCAGCAAACCTGTCCCTTTTGGGGCAGCTCTTCCTGCCTGCATGTGTCTATGCAAGTGTCTTTCGATTTTCTGTCCCTTTTCTAATAAACCTGTTCTTTAAATATAAAAAAAGAAAGGTTATCATTAAGCTGATCAAAATTAGAATATGTGGTGAAGAAAGACTTAAATAGTTCGACTTTCAAAATGAATAATGCTTATCTATGAAGTAGGAATAGCATAAAAGAATACTCCTTTTGTTTTTGATAGTTCCAGAATTTATTGTTTGGGAAATCACTATTGTAGTAGTAAATGAATCCTAAAGTTATCTCCTCTAGACGTAGAAGTTAGAGTGGAAGGGACACTAAGTACCCATCCTTTCATTTTATAGGTAAGGCACCTGGTCAGGAATAAGAAAGAACTACCATGAACTGCACAGATTCTTAGAGCACTCAGTGGGAAACCAGCCAGCCAGGATCCAGGCTTGCTTTTTCCCAATGTTTAAATAACCACATTAGTTTTTCTAGGTGGCAACAGTTACATGGTTTTGATTTCTCTCACTATCTTGATTTCAGGTTGAGTCATGGAAAACTGACTCTGAGCCATGAAGGGAAATGCTGAGCATTTACAGCAAACAACTTACCCAAAGCCTCAAAAGTCCAGCTGCAATTCTCTTTACACACTGGATATCTCTGGTAACTCCACCAGGAGATCAGCAAGATTCTTAGATATGATGGCTCCTACATTATTCTGTAGTTTGTTCCACTGCAAATAAAGTGAATGCCAGAGTTACTCTGATTTCTGAGATTGTTTTCTCTATTTTCCCAAACTTCGTGTCTATGATCTACCCATTCCCAAAGTGCTAACATGGCTAATACTTCAGAACCCACAGCATCAATTTGTGAATCCTAATAGATAAAAATAATTTCAAGAGTGCATGGAAAAAATGAAGATTCCCCACTTTAGAAATACCAATGATGCTGTTCTCTGATAGAGCTAAAGAAACCACAGTTTTAAACTGCATTTTAGGTGTTTTAATGCAGGTGGTCTCTCCACATTGATGTGAAAAGGATTTATGATGTTTTAACACTATATTGATTGGCTTCAGAGGGTCCATAGAATCATATGAAAAATATCTCTGAGCACTTTTTTTTTTCTCAAAAGAATGCCCAATCCTTTCTTTAGATTCTTAAAGGGGTGTATGAGCACAAATAAATATTAAAATCACCAATCTACAGATGCTGAACTGTAGAAACTTACTGTAATTATCTGACATTGTGTTTTAAGGCTGACATTCTAAAACCCAGATGACTAGAAGAAATCTCTCCGAAAATTTAATCACACAGGTTAGCAACATGTTGCTCAGGAAAGAAAACAAAATCCAGCAAGAACATGGAATCTGAGTAGATAAAATGAATGATTTAATGAAAATGACACCAGAGAGACCGAGCAAAATTGGAGATCCATGAGGAATACAAGTACTTTTATAGCCAAGGGAGCCATAATTAGAGTAGAGGATTCAGGTGGCAATTTACATTTTGAATAAATGGACCCAAAACAACAAAAAATGGATAAAACTCAAGGAAAAAAAAAAACCCAGGGAAATTAAGTTCACCAGGTGGATGGCCAGAAGTGGAGACAGTATTGTGGAAAACCTGCAGGTCCTCTAGGCAGTGAAAGGTGGGTTTATTTCCCAGAGGTGGGCTCAAAGATAGGAGGAATCATTTATAAGGAATCCAGGATCAGAAAGTACTCAAATCTATGGAGGTTGTCAGCAAACCACTGAGCTGACTCTCACTGGGAACTTCCTCAAGGTACAGTGCCTGGTGTAGATGGTATTTTTAAAGTCACCCACATGGCTAGGGTATCAGCATCCAGGAAGCGGGGTAGAAGACAGAAAAGTATCAGATGCTACAGAAATTAAAGAGGCAGTGACATTACTTGATTTTTTTTTAAAGATTTATCTATTTATTTATTTATACAAGAACCGGGGTACAGGCCAGATGACAGAGCAGGGAACAAAACAGGCAGGCTGACAAAACACACCGCTGAGGGGAGCATTGAGCAAGACAGGAGAGGTCTGCCATGCCATGTGGGACCCTTGCTGGCCGGGATTGAACCGGCACTGCAGAGGCTGCGGACAACTTCACAGCTTCACAGCACTGCACTCAACCGCCTGCACCACCAGGGGAGGCCCGACATTACTTGATTTTGAAGGAGAGAAAATCACAAGTTGGCAAAAGTGTGGAGAAACTGGAGTCTTGGTGTACTATTGGTGGAATGTAAAATGGTGCAGCCATTATGGGAAACAGTATGGCAATTCCTCAAAATACAAAAAAATAGAATTAACATATAATCCAATAATTCCTCTTCTGGGCATATCTTCAAAAGAACTTAAAGCATGGTCTCAAAGAAATATTTGTATACCAACACGATATATACTAATGTTTATAACAGCACCATCCATAGTAGCTGGAAAGAACAAATAACCCACCAAAGAAAACGGAAGATGGAAAAATGAAACAGCCTTGAGCATTGGAAAGAAAGTCATTTAGTCTTTTCAGTGAATTTACAATGAGATTCTGGGAAAATAAGTGGGGTGAGAGAGTAGTTTGAAAAGACACAAATCCTAATGTTACCACTCAGGCCATGAAATAGAAGTCCAAAGGCTGCTTCTGTAGAAGGAATATCTCTGCCTTCTAATCTACTCATTCCCACACCCCCAATTAGAAATGTCCCTTTAGCCTAGTCTTCATGAACACTTCAAGACGAACAAGAATATTTATTTCACTGAAAACTGTTCATGCCACAATACTACTCATATTTATCCCACTAATAGATATCTTAGCGATATAGAGTAATAAATTATTGATACTTGCAACAAATTGAATATGCATACTAAATAACACATTTACATAAATTTGCTTTTGAATTTGAATAAGCATTTTATAAAATCATATTTAAAATATATTTTAATAGATATTTTTGTATGTATATTAGTATTAAAGAATAATAAATTGTTGATATATGCAACATATTGAAAGCATATACTAAAATAAATTTTATTTTATATTTTATATTTTATAATGGACAAAGTTTTGTGTGTTTACCATATGCTAGTTATAGAATCATAAATCATAAATCATAACATATCAGGTAATTATAATATAGCATCACACATACACCACATTATTTATTATATGCCATATTATCATTATATGCCATAATGAGCCTGATACATTGGCTGGTGCTAAGGTGATTACATACCATCATATATTAATTAATATTATATACCAATAATATACATATTATTATATATACCTACTGCCAGGGCTGCTAGTGCTCATCTGCAACTTAAGTTCTCTGCTACCCATGCGTAAGAGCTATTACAATAAACTCTACTGGGCATATATTATGAAGTAGCTTTATGATTTGGTGATGATTATCAAAGCTTCCTCATTCAAAATTATAACTGTGCATAGTTAGTTCCTAACTGGAAATCTTGTCCAAATTAATATTTTCCATACATACAAGTACTGATGAAGTACATTTAGCATCATTTTGGGTAGCACAAAGAGCTTACAACTTTAAAGTGAACTATGTAGCCATATAGGGAACTGTCTTAATGGAGACATTCATGAAAAGATCATGAGATTGAAAAATGAGTATTTTTTCATTTGTATGATAAATGTTGTTTTCATTTGTATTTCTATACAATAATATCATACTATCTGAAAGAAAAATTAAGAAAGCAATCACATTTAAAATAGCATCATAAGGGCCTCCCCGGTGGCGCAGCTGTTGAGCGCTGGGTTGCGAAGCTGTCCGCAGCCTCTGAGGCGCCGGTTCGATCCCTGGCTGCTCCCTGGCTACCGGAGGAGGGTCCCGCATGGCGCGTAGACCTCTCCTGCCGCCCGCTGCTCCCCTCAGCAGTGTACTTCCGTCCTTCTGCCTGCTCTGCTCCCAGCTCTGGCTCTGGCGAATTCTCTCACCCTCCCGCGCTTCTGACTGTACCCAGTGCTTGTATAAATAAATAAATAAAATAAAATAAATCTTTAAAAAAAATAAAAAATAAAAAAAAATAAAATAGCATCATAAGTGATAAAATACATAGGAATAAATTTAACCAAGAAGGCAAATGATTTGCACACTGAAAGCTATATGACTTTGACGAAAAAAATGAGGACACAAATAAATAAAGAGATATGCTGTGTTTGTTGATTAAATGAAGTAACACAGGTAAAATGTCTAAA